GGTCATCGCCCCCGTACACCTTCAATCCAGGCTCCAGCTTGACAAGCTTCTCATTCCCGCCAGCATGGTCCCTGGAAGCGGAAAAGACCTAGGGCTGCTGCTGACATAAAGGAGGTTTGCTTGCTTATAAACCCTGCCCAAACAGAATTTTTATTTTCCTAGTTATGCTTCTCAGTAGTAGAAATGCATCTTCCAACACAGGAAACTGGCTTCTTGTCTGTCATTTGGCTCCACTGAAAAGAACGTCCTCAGGCACCCCATTCCCATGCCAGGCATCTCCGTGCCCTTGCCACAGCACTTCAAAAAGCAGGTCAGTTACACCAGTGCTAGCTCAGCCGGGCCCTGAACACACCTGAAGAGCAGCCATCCCAGGACAAGGCCAGGGCTTTCTGGTCACTACACATTCCACTGTGGACTCTTCTGATGGGCCCAGAAACAGCAGGGCCAGGATAAAAGGAGGCTGGCCCTTTGCCCCTCTTCCCTCAAAGGACTGTTACACGCTGGTCAGGGCCAACCCCTTAGCCCGCTCACCACCACCGATAAGTGGGAGGAGGCAGGGGCCACACCCTGGAGCTCAGTTTGGGGCCCGGTTCAGGGTTTATGTTCTGGCATAAACATAAGGTGCTGAGAAAATCCTCCAGAAAAGCGACACCTGAAGTGGGGATAACAGTGCGGGAGAGAGAAGCAAACTGTGCAGAGCTGAGGAACCGGGGTGCTTCCTGCAGCCGCATGGAGGCCCGAGAGGCCCAGGCACAGCACAGGCAGATTTCCCAAAGGCAAGAGTGGCTGCATCAAGTAGCTCAGGCCAAGGACAGGGCTGTAGACTCCGTCTGTAATTAGCACCTGATGTCCCAGAGACGCAGCAACTTAGATATCTTAAGCCAGACATTTCCACCACTTAACAAACTGGCCAAACCACATGCATACCACTCCCAGTGAAAGGCCTCATTTTATTTCTGGGAGAAGAGGCTGGTGAATCAGAGCTCCTACAGGCGAAATAATAGCAATGCCACGAGGACAGATTCATTCAAAGGTGTTAGCTGCACTCTAGCAGTTATTTGGGGGTGGGGAATCAGAGCCAAATATTATTATTATTATTATTATTATTATTTAGCTTTGAAGAACCTCAAAAGTTTCAAAAATCCCAAAGAAGGACCTTGGACATACAAGTCTAATCCTAAACCCAAACACAGGTGCTTTTTCATTGTTTAGCCTTTAAATATAAAAATAAAAAGGCCACACACAACCTCTCCAAATATGGCTGTTGGTTTTAAAAACACTGATGTCTAGTTTTTTGCCTAACATTGAGGCCAACATCTCATCACACAAGCCCAAGGGCTTTCAAAGGCACTGCTGGAGGTCGTCTCATGGCAGAAGGATCCACAGCACAAGCATCTCCCCACAGAACCCCCAAGTTACCAGACCCCATCACAGGGCCGAGGGGCTAGGGCCTGAAGACCAAGGGGATCGGGCAGCAGCACAGAGGCTCACACCCGAAGCCTCCTCAGAATCCCACTGGAGGCGGGCCCTCAGCTGCACAGTGGTCACAGCTGTGGGGGCACAAGCGACTCAGACTGCCAGCTGCGGGAGGGCCCAGAGAGCCTGTGAGAACCCCACCCAACCCCACCCTCAGGGTGAGCCTGGCAGGGAGCCATCAGGCCTAATCGGCTCTGCTGGCCTGGAGGAAGTTCAGCCTCTGGAGTGGAGCACTTACCAGTGGTGGTGGGTGGTGAGCACTGTAGTCAGCTTCACGCCGTGCTTTTTTGCCGTTTCTACAACCTGTAACCAAATGTGAAGCAGGACAGAGGCCACCGTCACACTACAAGTGCTGGCTCACCAGCCCGCAAGGTGGGGTGCCCACCGGAGCTCAGGGTGTGCCAGGAATGGCCGGGCTCCATCCGGACCCTGCCAACTCGGCCTAACTTCGGTAGAGCAGGGTGACAGTGGCCTTTCTCTCTCTTGATGCACTTGGCAATTCAGCACCCCCCACACCCCCATGACCTCTCCAAGCCCCTCTGGTCAAGGGCACAAAGCCTCAAGGAAGAGTAGACAATACCAAGTACAGCTCCCACCTCTCTGCCCAAGGACTTAACAGACACAAGGCCTTATCTTTCCACAGCAAAGCGTCTGGTCACCCCCACCCCTTTCATTGGCCCTTTGCCCCAATAACAGTGGCTGGGCACTAGTTAAATTGTTTGTAAAAAAAGAAATAGATTAATTTCTAGTTAGCTTCAGCCAAGTGCAAGAACATGGAGGTTATCACACCCATCAGAGGATGAAGAACTGTTTGCCGGGGACACACCTCCCACCTTCTGGGGTTGCACTGGGTCCACAATGGCGGCCTCCTTGGTGTCATCATCGATGATCAGGTACATGTAGTTGTCGGTCAGGGCAGGCAATAACTCAACCTTCATGGCGTCCTGTTCCACGGTCAAGCTCTTCCTCAAATCTGTGTGATGGAGGAGTCCCAGCTGGGCTAGACCTGAAGAAGAATGCAGTTTTGGTCAGTGTCCACGTGAGGCCACATCAGGCAGAGACCTCAAATCAAGCCCTCAGTGACGCAGTAATGGGGCGTCCTGGGGATGTGACATCCCAGAATGACATGCAGTGAACATCCAAGCAGAGGCTCACCCTGCAGGGTTTTCTAAATTCCTTTGAAAGAGAAGAGAATATTCTCATTTAACCACATCAGTAAGAAAATCTAGAAAACAATTCATATTCATGGAAATCAGCTCTTTCAGATTTATGGTCTGAATATTTTCAACAACGAAACTTCTATTATTCAATCTAAAAATTCATGGAGGCCCTTAAGCCTTAGCATAAAAGGGATTAAAACTGTATAACAGCCGAAACCGGTTTGGCTCAGTGGATAGAGCGTCGGCCTGCGGACTGAAAGGTCCCAGGTTCGATTCCGGTCAAGGGCATGTACCTGGGTTGCGGGCGCATCCCCAGTGGGGGATGTGCAGGAGGCAGCTGATTGATGTTTCTGACTCTCTATCTCTCTCCCTTCCTCTCTGTAAAAAATCAATAAAATATATATTTTTTTAAAAACTGTATAACAGAAGGCGAGAGAAGGCAGCCATGAAATTCTGGGGTATGTGCTGGGATAGGACTTCTCCCCAAAGGGATCCAGAAAGCAGGGAGCACTGACTGACTAACAGACAGGCCATGTCTCCAGGGGCCATTGAAAACAGATTCAGCCTTTTCTGCCATGGCCAGGGAAACTGCCTGAACTGTCGCTTTAATGATCGCACACAGATATCCAATGCCATCTTTCCTTTGACAACTAGCAGGGCATTTGCCAGACCCTTCTCCTCATGCAGAGCAGAACAAACATTTTTGTATGATCAAGTTTGTGATGTTCCACCAGCTATCTGAGACCCAGTGTTATCTGAGCCTGACGACTATACTATACAAGGCAGTGCGTGTATTGCAGGTGCGGGTGGGAGGCGGGCAGAAGGACAGAAACAAAACTCCATGAGTCTGGAAGCATTCTCCCCAACGGGGGACCCCACTTTTGTATCTTTTGTATTTCCCAGAGAACATTATCCAGTCTGCCTAGGTAAAGAAGAGACCGTTATTTACAATTGGTGCTAGGGAACCTGGGGAAGATGCTATTATCTCTAAGCAAAGAATTCATCTGGTCCAATCACCAGCAGAAACCTTATTCCTTTACCAAAAATTATATAACCTAGCCCACCACAGCCTGAGAAGTGGTTTGCAACTGTGACCTTTGTGTAACCAGAGTGTATGGACCTGCAGCCTATGGTCTGGGCCAAGTCCTGAGACATGTTTTGTTTGATTTCTTTTGAATGAGACCCGTCCTTCCGCATGGCAGCAACTCCTGGCAATTCCCTACAGTCCCACTTTCAACAGCTGCCCGACCCCTGACACAAACCCTCAGCCTTGACACTGTGATGCGTTTTCCTAAATGGCAAACAAAACAGTCAACAGAGCCAAATATCAACAGTACGATTGAAATTTCTTTTGAGAGCCAAATTTTTTAAACTTACACTATATAGGTAGGTACATTGTTATTAACTTAATTAGGGTACTCCTAAGGCTTAGGAAGAGCCACACTCAAGGGGCCAAAGAGCCACATGTGGCTCTCGGGCCGCAGTTTGCCGACCACGGGCCTAGGTAATGTCCTCCTGTCAGTTAGGTGACTGCTAACCAGGTCCCAGAGACCGCCCCTACTGCTAATCAGCCAGGTAAAATATCAGGAAATAAGGAAAAGGAGATTTCAAAAATAAAGGCCAAACTATTCCGACAAAGCAAGAGGTTAGCATCTGATCTGACAGCTGGAAGAGCAGGCCCTTGGAGGCCAGGGTGCATCGTGATGCCTCTCATTTCAGAGGCACCGATGGAAACACAGCAAGGGAGGGCCAGGGTCCCACGGCCCACGGGACCAGGCATTGCCCCAGGGCTCTCCCCTGTGTCATCACTTTAGATTCTGTGCCTCGGGCTCTACTTGACAACCAAAACTCAGGTGATTTACTTTGTGGAGAACATAACATTATCTGGGGCTCTCGGCAGTCACATCCCCCTCGGGCATTAGAGATACGGGATTTGTGGGGTGGGGGTACGGAAATATGAGGGAAACCCCCGCACCGCCCAGCGCCAAGGAACTAAGGGCTGCCGGCTGACCGCGGGGGGCCGGCCCGTGCGCCGGGAGCACGGCTCCTTACCTAGCACCAGCCTTCAGCACCCTCAGCGGATCAGCGACCCGCTCTGTCTTCTGCCCTCTCACAGCCTGACCCAACTGCTGTGCAGCTTTCGAACCCAACTGGCCTGCCCGCCGCCGTCAGCGAGGGTTAAAGTCCTCTGTCAATAAAGAACAGTGTCAGGTG